TTCTCTAATAACTTCTTGCTCGAGCAGGTCATCAGAGTGCTGCTGGGATGGTTGAGCAGCCTGTGAGTCAAGTACAGCCCGTGTTGTTCGTTTTCTCTTGCTTTTTGTTGTAGGGGTGACTGTAGTGTTGTGTTCAGCCGCCGTCTGTGAGGGTTGTGATGGTTCTGCAGCTTGAGAGCTCAAGACTGCCTTTGTTTGTGAGCGTGTTGTCCTTCGTTGAGCAGTGTCCATTGCTTTTATTAAAAACGTTAGAAAGCAAGTAACTCATATACAACATATAATATAGATTGATGGAAGGAAAATATATTCCTTATTTCAGTAGAGGGGGGATGGGGAGTGCCGAATAAATCCAGCCATGCTCTACCGAAAAGAATATAATGTCCTTCAATAACAGTTACACATAATTGGTAATATAGTAACATAAAATTCATAATTTCACAAAGAAAATTCATAATACCAGAACAGAAAATTCATAACCTTAGAACAGAAAGTTCATAACTGCAATATAGATCAGAATCCATAATCTCATATGAGAAAATCCATAATTCCATATTGTCCATCAATAACAGTCACATATAATTGATAGTATAGTAACATACAATTCATAATATCTCACAAAGAAAATTCATAACCTCAAGACAGAAAATTCATAACTCCAAAACAGAAAGTTCATAACTGCAACATAGAAAATTCATAACTACAGAACATAAAATTGACAACTCACAATACAGAATTCATACTCTCCTACGAGAAAATTCATAATCTCTAACAGAAAATACATAACCACATATAAGAAAGTTCATAACAGCAAAAATGTAATTTCATAGGCACAATAGAAAATTCATAATCTCACACAGAAAATACATATTTGCATGACATAAAATACATATTTGCATGACATAAAATACATAAGTGAATGGACGTTATGGACATTCAAAGCTTGCATAGAAAGTGAATAAACAGCAGTAAAAACCATATACGAATCAATTCATAATGGTTAATCTACACGTATATAATGCTACAGATATACATTCATAAGCTCATAACATTACATTCAAAACCCCATTTCAAAATTTCGAAATATGTACACAGAATACAAATACCCTAAATCATAAACACGAAAATACCTGTAATACAAGTGAAGGAACGTTGAGAATGAGCAATGGAGAGGCTGTATCCTTTGATAGCTACGTGAGAACGTCAAATTTTGTTTTACAAATGCGAGAACGAGGAATCCGAGAGCAGAGGTGAATGGCTGTGGAGCAGAGTGTTTGAGAGTGGTCGAAGGAAATGGCTGGGGAAGATGAAGCGATAGAAGAGAGCTCGAGAGTGGTGTTCCAGAGAGCAGAGCGATGGAGGTTGCATGGAGAGGAAGTGAAATGGCGTAGTGGAGAAGCTGAAACGCTATGGCGCGTTTAATTTAAAAAAAAAAAAAAATGTGAGTGGTGGGAGTTAACGGTGCCACTTACGGGCACCGTTAGTCCCACTCACTCTAAACGGTGTCGTATGGAACCGTGTTCACCAACCATGGTGAACACGGTTCCATGGCATAACAACTGTTCTCTGCCTGCATTATTTTTGCCTTCTGCTTCCTAAGTTTCTTTCTGCTTCAATATGCTTCCACTACTTAGCTCAACCTAGTTTAATTTCAAGGTTATTATATCAATTTTGTGTTTCTTTTAGCTGAGGTAATTTGTATTGAAGAACAAGGAAAATGTTCTTCGGTGTTGGTTTTACAAAACAAGAAAAAAAGAGTATGAGAGTGATGAGTTCAACGTAACTCTTTCACTTGGCCACCGAAAAATGTAATGTATCGACTGACAAATATATATATATATATATATATATATATATATATATATATATATATATATATATATATATATGCCACCATTTCGATGATGAACGCTGATTAGGGGTCCTGTAACTTCCATTTCCTAATCTTACCAAGAATAGGAAGTTTGTCTATCATTGTTATTGTTGTTGTTGTTATATTATTATAGGGAAATCACCATTTTAGTCCCTCAATTGTTCCCAACTGTCAATGTAGTCCGTAGTTTTCAATTTCAACTAATTTGATCATCAAATTGTTTAAAATTACGTCAATTAAATCATTCGATGATCAAATTGACGAAATTTTAAAAATAGAAAAATCACCATTTTGGTCCATTGAAAAGGTTTAATTGACAAAATTTTAAACAATTCGAGAATCAAATTAGTTGAAATTGAAAACCATAGACTACATTGACAATTGAGAAACAATTGAGGGACCAAAATAGTGATTATCCCTATTGTTGTTGTTGTTGTTGTTATCATCTGTAAAAGTAAAATCTTTTCAATCTTTTCAAATATAAGATGCCACATAAGTTGTGATTGTGAATTAAAACCTTCATTCTTCTAGTCGTGGTGTTAATTGTTATTTTTCTAACTAGTAAAAGGGTGTAATCAATTTGATTCTTATTTAAAAAATAAAAAAATAAAAAAAAAAATGATGCATCATTGATATATTGGTAGTTATATAATGACGTGAACCAGAATACACCATCTTATTAAAAGTAGGGAAAAGGATCAAATAGACCCTCAAACTTTAGCTTAAAAGTCAATTAGGCCCCTAAACTTTTTAAAGGTGCAATTACACACATCAACAATTCATTTAAGTGCAATAAAGCCCAAAAACAAATTAATGACCTGTGATTAGGGTTCAGGCCACCTTCCGGCGAATTTTTCAGCAAAAAAAAAAAAAAAAAAAAAAAAAAAAAAAAAAAAAAAAAAAAAAAAAAAAGTGACCGACGAAATTTTCAACAAAAGAAGTGATCAGCGAAATTTTTGGCAAATTTGGGTCGGTTCCTGGTCACCTTTTTTATGTCGGAAAATTCGTCGGAAGGTGGCCTGAACCCTAATGACCTGTGATAGCAGGTCATTAACTTGTTTTTGGGTTTCATTGCACCTAAATGAATTGTTGATGGATGTAATTGAACCTTTAAAAAGTTTAGGGGCCTAATTGACTTTTAAGCTAAAGTTCGAGGGCCTATTTGACCCTTTTCCCTTAAAAGTAAAATCATCATTGATCAAGTCCTTTTATAAAAAGTATAATAATTTCTAAATATATAATCATTATAAGTATTTTATTTTGCTTTCTCTCCAAACAAGTGCTTTCTCTCCAAACAACTGCTTCTCTTTCATCTGTAAAGGCTCTGCGACTCCATCCCCTGACTGCCGGCTGACGCTCTAATGGAGGGTTGAGCCAGCGGTGTCATTAGTAGACTCTATTTTCTGGCTGTTTTAGGAATAAACGTTAGATCTCAAATTATCTCCGATCGTTTTTTCAGAGAAGACGTCAGAGACTCTCTAGATCTTACAGGTTTTCTATCATCTTTTCCATTTATTTTGTTTTCTCTACATTTTCTCTCGTCTCTCTGACGAGTGTTTCCCTCTTGTTTCTTTGGCGAGTTTTCCTCTCGTTTCTTTTACGAGTTCTCCTCATAAGCGTGGAATGATAAGGGTAGTTAGGTCTTTACACAAATATTCCATTTCTATTCCTTAAACCAATCAAACACTGGAATAACATTCCTAAAGTCTATTCCTCCACCAAACCAAACAGTATAATACAATTTCTATTCTATTCATTACCTATTCTATTCCCTATAGAATAGTATTCTTATTCCTTCAAAATTCATTCCGCGAACCAAACGTGCTATTAGTTTATTGCTAGAAAATTCGCCATTTTCTTCTAACAAAAAATACTAGTCAATATTAAAAATAAAAAAAAATAAAAAAAAAATAAAAAATAAAAACCCCACAACTTTCAGTTGACAGAGTTGATTGGATGGTAAGTTGGTCCAAATTACCTTCCAACATATAGTGTTGGTCAGACTAACGCTATATGTTGAAAGGAAATTCCAATAAACATACTATATTAGATATGATGGTAAATTCCACTTGACTGGTAGGTAAAAAATTAAACTAGTAGGTGTAACCATTTACTGACTAATATTATTGGACGGAAATATTACTATATAAATCATTAAATACCCACATGTATATTTTAGCTCAATTTTTGCAACTTTTCTCCATTTTTACTATCCTCTATAGTTTAGGACTTGGTTATTTGTTCCAAGTCGAGTAACAACACTTAGTGTGATTTAAGACAAAGAATATTCTAACTTGAAGTATGAGTTGAAAGTAGTAGCTTTTAATTTTTGTGTATGTGTGTTTTTAGATGCATATATACTTGAAATGATATTATATATCTCTTAATGAGGTTCCATATATCTTTAATAGTTTAATAGTTCAATGATAATTTACATGTTTTGAGATTTTTTTTAATATTAGGTGTATATGGAATATATATCGTAACATCGAAAATGGATATACCGATGAGTTTTTAGTGGGTGTTGAGTAAGTTGTTAATTATGCATGTGCACTTCCAGTTAGGGGTGTGCATCGGATAGGTTCGGATGGCCGGGTGGCTAATTCGAACGGGTTTCGGATGGAAGTTTTAAATATCCAACCCTTTGTTTAATTTTTAGTTACCCAATTGGTTTTGCTATACATCGCACGGCTGGAAATCTACCAATTTCCGACCACCTAAAAATGGTCGGAAATGGCCTTAATTAGGTCGGAAACGCCTGTTCCGACCTCTTTTTCGACCAATTTGGGGGTCCGGAAAATTCCCTCTCGCTGCCAGAGAAAGTTATCGAAAATAGCGACCACTTATTTAAAGCCGTCGAAAAAATTGACCAAAAGAATAGTCAGGCTAGTTTAGATTTTCCGATCACCGGTGGTCGGAAATTTCGACCATTTTGGTGGTCGAAAAACTGGACGTAGTCAATAAAAAAATTCATTTCACTACAGAGGATCCCTCCGTAGTGAAATGAATATATATATATATATATATATATATATATATATATATATATATATATAGTTGCAAGCTGATGAGATATTTGCTGAAAAACATATAGACATTTCATTGGCTTTTACTACTGTGCTGAAAAACATATACAAAACATATAGATATTTCATTGGCTTTTAAATAATATAATCCAATGGTAGCAAAGGTGTGAGAGACTTCCAAACACATAAAGCTATCAACAGAAGTTGAATCAGAAAGATCTACATGATCGGGGGCATATCAAGATTCAAAGAGACCTGCATTAATTCCTTAGATTCAAGATGGAGATCCACAAGGAATTGTTCTAACTTTTCATATTGTTGCACCTTTAAATTCTCAACCTGATAATAAATAACTAAAACATTGATATCAGACAGACAGAAAGTTTAAAGAGTAAAGAGCTTTCTCAGCATACATATATAGAGGAGCAGCATATGGAGAGAAGAAAAAAAAAACATATTTCATTAACAACAGAAATATATAGTCTAAGACATTATATGCGATTATATTTGTATTGATCTTCATGTGCTTGAACTTACAGTAATTCCCTATTAATGCCTAGCAAGTAGCAATATCAGGAGTCATGTTATGATTAACATAAGCATAATATTAGTTTCTATATTATACAAGAGGTACTCCTTTTAGGCACATTCTATAAATTCATTAAAATGATACATATTAGAAGGGCATGATTCTGTTAAACACCTCTTTATGCACTGAAAATAAATTTTTATTGAGACAATATAGCACTGCAAAAGTGCAAATAACATTTTTACTACAACAGTGGTGAATGCTAAGAAAAAATTATTGCATCGTATTTTGCTTTACCATGGAGAAATACATACCGGATAATTTAACTGCTTAAGGAGCATCAAAGCCTAAGCCCTTGCTTGTATGGATTCATTATTGCATCGTATTTTGCTTTACCATGGAGAAATACATACCGGGTAATTTAACTGCTTAAGGAGCATCACAGCCTAAGCCCTTGCTTGTATGGATTCAGAATATGAGAATACCTTTCCCTGAAAGCAATGCATATATTAAGAACTCACCTAGTAAGTTATGGGAATTTCCTATAAAAAAAAAATTAAATTAAAAAAGGAGCAAGTCAGATCCTCTACCCCAAATGGGACAAAGAAAGTTACAAAAGGAGGGATAACGACAAAAACATGTTCATTCTCTAAGAACTTACATAATTCTATTATGCTTAAAGTATCTACCTAGATTTAAAAGCTGGAGACATGCTGAATGATCTTGTTTCTCTATACTAAACACACTATGACATGTAAGCAATACTCGTGGACACATGCCAACTAAAGGTGAAATAAATGATTTCAAATTTGAAGAAAATAATTTGAAACTAGATTTATGAAATTCTCTTCATCTATAAACAGCAAAACTAGATTAGATGCATCTACTTTTTGTTTTGGAAATTTTATCCTATCATGCATCTTTAATGGTCCTTGACTTTATATATGATTGAACATGCATAAGAACAACAAGAATTACAACTGTGAGGACAGGAAATATACAAAAAAAAAAAAGATAAAGTGCAAAAAATAAAATAATAAACCAGGATTCCAACAAGAAGCACAAGCAGAAAAGGAAGTGCCTGCAAGTTTTTCACAATGACAGCCACTGCTTCTTCTGATGCTCACTTGCAGTCCTGGAATGATGAATCCACATATGCCTAATGATAAAGAAGATGTCAATAGATAGTGAGAGATGACAGAAACAATGAACAAATAAATAAATACATAAACAGAGAGAATTAATAATTTCATGCACAAGTAGATGTAATATCATTAGTATGATAAACTGGAGTATATTCCAAAACAATAACTAACCTTAAAAATTGGCATAGCTCCAGTATAGTATTTCACTGCATCAGCATAAGCTTCTCCATGAACTCCAATGAAAAAGATCTGCAAAAGAAGAATGAATTAGAACCACATAGTGCAGAAGGTTGAACAAGCCAGACTATTTGTAAAAACAACTTTAATTGAGGATGTTTAGGTAATGAAAACATATATGGTTCACAAAGAGTTGTCATATAAATTACATACACTTCTATTAGAAACTCCCTATCTGTGCCAGCATAAAGTAATTAACATCTTGTACAATTATTGGAAACAAGAGAAAACAATGCTCAGGTGACAAAGGTATGTTCAGTTTGTACCTTATTTTTTTGAAGTAGTTAACATCTCGAATTTCTTAATGCTCAGTTAAGCTACGAGTACATAAGCTATTTAAGTACCATTTAAGTGCAATCTATGTCTAGAGAAAACTTCTTTTAGGGAAAATTTTATCACCAACAGAAGTTCACTATTTTGACTGGATTCATCTCAGCCTGAAAAAGATACTTTTGTCTCTGCTTCATCAATGTCACTCCTGAAATGCCTATCTTCACTTGGAGAGCCCTGGAAACTGCTAAGGAGCAATGTAAACAGTATATCAGTCTTTAGAAAGGTTTGGCTGTGAAAAGAGAACAGTGGCACACTGGAAATATAGAAAACTTGTAGACTTATGTAATCCGTAGAACTGTACTAAAAACTATTTAAGATATTAGATATCAATATATCATGAGGAAAGGCTTGGCTATTTCTAGGCAAAAGCACAGAGAACTCATTATTTCACTTTATGTGACATTGTAAATTGACCTGTTATATTTGATTACAATATATTTTCTTCCACCCCTCAATTTTCAAGTCCATAGGATATGGGTTCTTCTTCTGAGGCATAATACTGCTTCCAGTGGAAACTGCGTCACTAGGTGTGACAAAGCCAAATTCTTCTGAAGCCTACAATTTCCATTCTTCACCAAGTCGAGAGAGATGAATGGCCGTGATGGAATTTGCTGACAGAAGTTCAATAACAAAATCACGATCTGAAACAGCATCAATACTATTGCACAAAATGATGCGAACATCAGTACTAGATCCTTAAATAATAAATATTGGAGTTCAATGCAATCTTTTAGTTAGATGTCAACGAGTGAGCAAAGAGACACCAAACGGGAGCATACTGTAAGATAACCAAAATTAAGTTCCTTTTGCATTTTTTTTCCGACAACCATTCCATTACCTTTAAAATATGCCTAAATTATTCACAACAAAATAAAGGTACCTAGTTATCACTCAAAACGATTGCATGGCAAGTAAAAACTTCACGGAGAAATGCTCAACTTAAGAATGCATCAGAGTTCACTGTTGTCTAGGTGGAAAAGGAAAAATCTTTAGAAAGATAATGATATTGTTCTAAGAAGATACAGCACGATACCTGTTCCTCATGGGTGCAGTGAATCCCAATGCATCAGAAGTCGTAAATCGATCAATGAGAAGACCAGTACCAGCTAAAGCACATGCTCCTAGAGGACAGGAGTTCATACTCTCTCAACAATCTGCTAAGCGGCCAGCATCACGTTCAAGCTACAAGAAACCATTGATTCATTGATTTAAAAATGAGTTGAAGAACTTTAGCAGCCAAGTCCATTAGAGAAACATAGATGATGACAATACACTAACAGTAGTACAAAAGAAAGCAAAAATAATTGAAAGTAGTGAAAACATGCAAATAGGCCAACCTCAAGTATTAAAGTCTTCATATATAAGGCGCATGTCATTCAATAAAGGATAAAAACACTTTGTACACTGTATAAAAATGGTAAATTTCAAATTTCTAAATTAAAGATATGTTAAATATGGCATGAGCAAATAAATGCGAAACTTGTATAATAAACATGAGAATTAGATAAACCTCAGCAGAAATTCTTTATTATTCAGAAACAACTGACTACTGCCCCTACTAACCTATTAATAAATCTCGTTTCATACCTGCTAAACATATGCTAAGAGAAGATGTTGCAGTAGAACTGGTTGTGCTCTTTGCAAATGGGTATATCCAGGAACGATCAGACCCTCATTTTTTATAGCAAGTTTAATCAAAGCAACCTGTATATATAGCAAGTTTAATCAAAGCAACCTGTATATATAGCAAGTTTAATCATGAGTGAGGTCCATTTCACAACATTAGATTAGGCATCTTCAGTCTCACTAGGGCTATGCAAAATTCCAGCCTATTTGCTGACAAGATTACTCATTTCTCTGATATGAAATCCTATGAAATTTACATATGGTCAGTTGGTAGAAAATCTTTAGAATAACTATAACCTAACACCATATATAGTAGAAAAGCAAATGACCTGAAGATTTTTTATACGTGAAATAATTCTGTCAATAGCTTCACGACACCATAAACGGAAGTCAGTTGCAACTCGATCATTTCAACTCCTAGCAGTATGAAGCTTCTTTGCAGATTCACCCACTAAATCAGTAAGAGCTGCTTCAATGTTCATGTGCACATCCGCTCTGTCAGCCCTCCACAAGAACTTGCCTGCTTCAATCTGCCTTTCTATCTCCTCTAGACCTCGTAGAATTGTATCCTTACGATACACCAAAACAATTGTGCACATTTGAATACTACTCTTTCACATTTCACTTGTTAAGGAAATAGAAGTCATGAACTATAGATTATAAACCAAGAACCCTAACAATAGATTAAGAAATATAGAACCCTAACCATTACATCGTCGATCGAGGAAAAGAGCTAAGGAGGAGAAGGCGTCGTCGATGGAGGAGAAGAGCAAGGGAGGAGAAGAGCAAGGGAGGAGACGTCGTCCTTCGAGGAAAAGAACTGGAGAGGAGAAGGTTTAAATCTGTGATTGAGGAGAAGAGGTAAGGAGGGGAAGGATTGAGTTGAAATCTGCGTTTGAGGTGAAGAGGTAGGGAGGAAAAGGTTTTGCGTTTGAGGAGAAGGTTTAGATCTAGCTGCGAAGGCAATCCCGACGGCTTCATCAGCGTAGATGATTTAGGGCAGTTGCGCAAAAGAGTTAGGAAAAACCGAAAAATAGATATAATGGATATTTATATATTGGCCAGTTGCGCAAAGGGCTAAGTGTTTATTAGGTATGTTTGCGATTTTTTTTAAAAAAAATTCCGACCACCGGATTTTGTGGTCGGAAAATGAGATTAATTTAAATATTTAGCGAAATTTTTTCGGCCACAGTATAAAAAGTGAACGAACTACCGACAACTTCGTAAATATGGTCGAAAATTCTGATCAATTTCCGACTACGCTAACACACGGACGGAAAAACGAAAAAAAAATCAATTTTTGCGATCAAATTTTTAGGTGGTCGGAAAAGAGGTCGGAAAAATGATAATTTCCAGCAGTGTCGGTTTGGTCCGGACCTGTCGGATATCCGACCTTTAATCGGTTTAAAAGAAAACTGAAAATCAATTTAAAAATCAACCTAAAATGCTCAAAAGTAATAACAGTAACTGATTAACATATATTATACTATACTAAGTAAAACTGATACTAAATTAGCAATTAGTAATTTAGTATCTAACTCAATAACTGATAATCTAATACTAAGTACTAACACACACACAACTAACAGTCTAACAAAAGTTATTAACTTATTACAGATTTACAGACCAAAAGGATCAAAAGGATGGATTACAAATTTACAAAATACACAAGTGCCAAGCACTCAAGCAGATCAGGAGATGCTATCAAGGTGATCAAGCATTCAAGCTACATATTACCGAATACAGATTTACTCATTTACAGCAACTGAGCAATAAATGAATTTCTCCACTATATAGCTATACTCCTAAACTGAGTCCTAGTTTCCTAGACCTACTCTTCTTCCTGTGAATTGTGACAAGTTAGTGAAAAGAATTAGTACACAATCAAGCACAAAAATTAATCCCAAAAGGGATTATATATTTATATAGTTGACTCAGTAAGCATTTTTCCATATCAATTTTGGATTAAGGGAAAATTGCTACAATAAGTATAGAGTAACATACCAACTTAATCCTTTTCAGATTATAGGTGGAAGCTTCATCATTGCCACAGAAAAGGGACAACTGGACAAACGTAATAATAAAATAGAAACATTACCAACCAGACAAACAAGGACTATTTGGCATTCTAAGCCAATCCTGGGTACAAACTAAAGTTTCCACAATTTTTGGAGTTAATGAACTCCTAAAAGGATCCAATACTCTCCCAGATGTACTGAAGGCAGATTCAGATGCAACAGTTAAGATTGGTTTGGCTAGGACATCCCTAGCAAGCTTAGACAGTATAGGAAACCTTTCAGAGTTAATCTTCCACCATCTAAGTATATCAAAGGAGTTTTCCTCTTCAACTATTGCCTCATGCAAGTAGATATCCAACTCAATTTTTTCTTACCACCATATTCCGATCTTTGTTTTTTAATTTGGGACTTGAGTAAATGTTGTGGCCTCCCAACAGAGGCAGGTGCAGACAGAGAAGAATCACTACCAACAGAGGCAGATGAAGACTGAGTAGAAGCAGGAACAGAAGGGGCACCAGTATGGTTACAACTGACAGAATAATCATCAAATAACTCAGTCAAAGCAGCAAACACTTTATCATAGTATGGTTTACCTTTTTCCTCACAATACATATGATTAATTTGAGTAGGCATATACTCTAATTTGTCCCTGGGGTCTAGAATGTTTG